CGTTAAAAAGATACGAAATAGTTTCCAACATTTTATTCTAGTTACACGAACGACCATGTTAAGAAGGAAGTGTTTAAGTTGATGTATTGACAAACCCTTCGTAAAAACACAATTCACTCGAGTCTTTAATGTTTTGAACACCAACCTAAGTTATAGTCGAAATATGTGAGCGTCGATTTGTATTATTTTCATTGTTGAAGTTTGATCGTGCAACCATAATAAATTGATTTATGAGTTAGATATGTGCGGATTACATAAGAATTAAATGAAAATCTAGATGGTCTATTCGTTAATAATTGCATGTACAATTATTAATGAAAATTTGGAAACAAACTTCCTACTAGAATAATAAGTTTTAGGAGATGTCTGATTCTCATATTTCCCAAAGTACATTTTTCAAGGAATTTTAATGAGTGTTTAAATTAATGTATGATCGGCATAAATCTAAAATTATTATAAATAAATTTATTTCTATTCATGTATCTAGGAATTTTAATGAGTGTTTAAATTAATGTATTAGCAATTAATTCTTTGTAGTATAAAAATATTGTTTATTTGCAGTATTTCGTCATAAAATTTTTTTTGAATCATAGAAGTAAAATTTTAATAGTACAATTTTATTCTCTTAAATTTCTGTCATAAATTTTACTTTCTTTAGTTCGTTTGAGACCATCAAATACTCCCAACAAATTTGTATTAAATATTACTTTTACAGAACTAATTTGGATCATAAATATTAAATTTTAAGAGTACATTTTTCTTCTCTTAAATTATCCTAAATTTTATTTTCTTTAATCCGTTTGAAACTTATCAAATACTTCCAACAAATTGGTATTAATTATTAGATGAGTGGAACCCAATAACGGTCATATTTTTATTAAAATTGAAAAACTAGCCGTTCAAAATTGGATTAAGGCCATGTATGGGAGGGATTAAAATCGGATTAAAATTGAAAATATAGCCGTTATTGTTGACTTTTATTAGACGAGTGGGACCCAATAACTGCCGTATTTTCAATTTTAATTGGCTTTTAATCCC